CGGGTTTTGCCCATTACCTGGAAGAGGTGTGTCGTGCGTGCCCTAGCAGCCCCCCTTTTTTGCATTCAAAGTTGTTTTGGCTGGTATAGAGAATGTTTCCACAACCTGCGTCTAAAGCAGCAGGCTTTACATAGAGACAACGGTCTGCAGTCAAATAAGGCCTTTGAGTCCTTCATCCCCCCCCCCACCCCCCTGTAAACAAACAATGGGCCCTGGCCAAGAAAGAAAAACACATGTTTGGTAACAGGCTAGAGGATCTGTTTACGGGTTGCCCCCAGTAGCCTCAACCCGAAGTCCTGAACCCTAAGCCCACAGACCCCAATCCCCCGAACTGTCAAAGCAGCCAAAACATCAAGTACTAGAAATGAGGGTTTTTTGGTGAGTATCTATCTGGAGTATATCTTATTCTTGTCCGATAACAATGTCCCATGTGAAAAGAGGCATTGAGTTCCGGAGGTAAAGAGTTTGCGACCATTTAGAGTTCGGAATGCGAGCCCCCTTTAAGACTAGTAGAGAAGTGCAGGATGCAAAGGCCCGATGCATCATTCTCTCAAATCCTAAGTTGAAGGAGCCAAAACCCCGTCAAGCCGTCTAAATCCGGCCGGGTGCCCGAGTCCTCAACCACAACGCCTTAGGACTTAGGACCCTCTCACTTGAGATCCCTGAAGTCCTACATTGAAATCAGCCTGTGCTCAGGTGATGATGGTTGGGGATGAACTGAAACTATACTTGTCAGCGGCCGGGTTGCAAGATCTTTTTGTTTGTGAAGCCCGGGAGAGCACGTGCTTTACGGCCTCGTAGCTTGTCGCTTCCACCCTACAGCTCGCTGACTTTCGGGTCGTGCAGTGAACTGCTTGTCAACATCTCTGAGTTGACCTCCACGGTTTGTCCTTCTTGGGGGCATGACCGAAAATGTTGCAGTTTATGTAGGTTAATCTGCGAGGGCCTTGGGGCAGGGCTTCGAGGGGATTGCAGCTTCATTGGAATGTAAACGAGGATGCGAACTACCGCCGTCACCTCAACACCACTGTTTTCAAGAACGCCGTCATTGCCCTGGATGCAGTCGCGTCGGCCAAACTTCAGATTTGGTAGCCGACTTCAATCGTTGAAGCAGGCGGCTGGATTGTTGAGATGTGAGCTTTCAAGACCATGGACGCCAGATGCAGTGCCAGATTTAAATGGAGGGGATTCGGACTCTGGCAGATGGCCGTAAGGACTTCAGAGCCTTCAAGGATTCAGAGCTGAGGGGTCGGAAGGTTGCAGAGCTTCAGAACGGGTCAGAGCTTCATTGCAGCAATCTTCAGAGTGGATAAGCCTACCCCGAACTTTGAGGCTGAAAGCTCCCCTGCCAGCATGCAGAAAGCATCGTCAGTTCTCGGATCTACTCGTAGCAGAGTGCTGCTTGGAGCTAAACCCAAGACATCCCCACACGTCCTGCCCACACATGCCCACACCACTAAGGCTACAGGCGCGAAGATCTGGCAATGGAACGAGGTGGGATGCAAAGCAATGTGAAGCTGGCCCTCCGCAAGCTCGCAGCCCCTGGCGCCCACGCCGAAGCCTGCAACAGAAAATGCAACAACGCGAGCCGTCTTTGAGAATTTTGGGACGAAGTAGCAATCGCAGGCGGATTGGGACCATTTCGGTGCCGCAGGAGATGCGCCTTGAACGCGTTTGGAAGGCTCGTGGCGCTCGATTGGCAACATAACAAATACGCATCATGGAAATTGCCCACTTAACGTTCAATCTACCACAAGCTATCGTGGCCCAGGCTAGTCTTGAAAACCGGCCCCAAGCTATTCTTTTCCCTTTCTGGCCTTGCCAGCGTTGCAGAAGCTTAAATCATGCAGTTGCCATGCTGTCACCACAGTATACAGCTCTGCAGACTTAAGGGCGCGTAGGATGAGACAGTTGCAGGGTCTCAGCCGGATGCTCGAACTGCCTAGCGGTTGTCGCAAAGTCTGGGAAGAAAACATCAAGCCCCCCTAAAGCAAAGACCGAACAAACAACAAGTTGCATCCACGCAGGGCTGTGGGAGAGGCTGTGAGGGCAAAGAGTTCCTTGAGCGCCCTAGATGTTGATCATCTGGATCTGTGTAAAGCCGTGCAGCCAGAAAGCTCAGAGTTCAAAAGTCCAAAGCCTGAGAAACACACTTCAACACCTGAACTGAGCCAGTCTTGCATTCAACGTTCTTCCGGCGCTTTCTGCTCTTGTTGTCTCCAAGGAGGAAGGCTTTGCGCGTCGATCCCTGCTGGGCAGCCACTAGGCATGATCCAGCAACATTCAGCAACGCATGACGGTGCAAGGCCTGGAGGCGTGCAGCGGGTTTCCTTTCTCAACCTGGCGGGGTGTTTTCTGACGAATTTGAGGCACATCGCGACTTGAGTTTTTGGATGGGAGCGGTTCAGAGCCTTAGCATCCCCAATGAAGCTGGGTCCCTCGAATGAACTGATCACCCCCAATGCAGATGAGGCGGCTCCCAGATCATCGTTGTCGTGCCGCCAGTAAGTTTAACGTAGGTTGCCTGTGCACCGTTTATACGCCCATAGTGTTGTGAGGTGTACTGTCCGGATGCTGTGACCTTCTTTGATGTTAACTCATGATGGCTCACTCGGTGCTCCCACATCTCAGGCATTGAGAATCCCATCTGCCTCCCAGACAACCAGGGCATCCCCGTCATCAACACGAAGGCAAGTCTAGATCCGACACCAAAACCATCACCTCGGGTAGATCGCTTGCTCGTTATTCCGAAGAGCTTTGCAAACGCCGGTCCCTATATGGCCCTTCCTTTGGGAGCGGCCAGTTGCAAGGGTCGCGTACTGGTAGTTCATACTCTGACTCATCTGTACATGGAGGGTGTTGCATGGGGGGGGGGGGGGGTGGAGTGAACACCAGCCTTAAAAGTAGGAACTTTCAGCTTACACCATGAATTCTGTGTTTGGACACAGGACGGGACCGTCATTGCCTCCAGCCGCCCGACTTGGCTGGGCTTCCTGTGCTGTTATGAGCAAACAGCCTTACTAAATTCTATACTGCGGCAGTCAGTACATCACGTGCATATGGCCTCGGAGCAAGGGACGCGTATAGACTGGGGAAAAGTTTCGCCCAACCGGTGTGACCACGAAAGTACCTGACGGCTCCTGATAGCCCGCACACAAGCTCAAATATGCCGGGTTTGGGGTTTTGGGTTTCGGGCTTCGAGTTTCGGGATCTTCATGCGTTTGCTTCTCCTCTTCCTCTTGGCGAGCTTCGCCCCGCGCTGAGTTCCAAGGGCTGAACCAGCACACGGGCCTTTTGTGTCCTCGGGCGTCCGGTGTTTTCATGTGCTGTTGCCACGTTGCTGCCACGATCCGGCTTGTCCGGCTTGCAGAGATCCACTTGGCTTTGGATAAAGTTGAACACTGCTCCTGCAATACGGCGAGACGAAGCGACAGAATTATGAGATTGTCGACTCGCAACGGCATTGCTTCACGAGCCCCGGACTCCCGGGCTGAAACCATCAAAGCCCCTGCGGAACAAACTTTTGAAAGATTTTCAGAACAGCAGCAAGCCCTGAGGGCGTTTGTTTATAAGACCTAGCGTCATTGGCGATCGCGAGCCCAAAAGCCCACTCTCCAGCCTCTGCATAGGCTTAGAAGGGTTTCATGACCATTGGATTGCACTGTAGAAGACATAGAGGATTGTAAGGTGAAAACCTGCAGGACGTCAGATCAAAACGCTGTCGGCATCGCATGCTGTAAGGGTTCAGGAGTTTAGGATTCAGTGGTGCGCTGATGAAGAAGAACAAGTGGAAGAGAGGTGCCCACAACGGGAACATGACCATCATTCGGGATGCAAACAAGAATGGCATGATCGAAGATGATGAGACGACGGTCGCTCAGCGAAAGATGGCGACAGCGCCTGACCCTTTGTTGAAGCTCATCAAGTAAGAGCGTCGGCCTGCCTTGTGGCCCGAGCCCAGAAGCGGACCTCCACCCTTACTTTTAACCACGCTAGGAATTCCGAAGCAGCAACTTCCCTTCCTGACGTCGGGCGTGCGTCTAGAGGCATTCCCGACTGGCATCGCCTTTCTGAATGGGCCTTCAGCGGCCCCTGGTATGCTGGTGGCTTCGCCATGCTGGGGATCCATGTACGTACCTTGGAAACATCGTCGAGGCTCTCTGGTAGTAAACGCGCCCTCCCGGAGAACTGAGACTTAAAGAGACCAAAAGAGCTTCGCAGTTCCCCATCCCAAACACATGATTCACCCATGCGAGGCTGCTAGGCCAGGGGCAAAAAAGAGACATTGCGAGGGGTCTTCTTCAGCCTGTCCTGTTCTCTCAAGTAGTAGCCTTCGTAGATTCCGAGAGAATGTTGTAAGTAGGGGCCTAGTCCCACACGAGCCTCCGGAAAGCCCCAAAGCCCAGACTCGAACAAGTTCTTTGCACCACCTGAGGTTTTCCGCCAGTGAGCCCAGCATCGATATCGACTTGCCATGAGTCTGAGTCAGGTAGGAGAAGCCCCAAGCTGCACAAGCTGCCCAAGCTAAGAGAGGCATTTGCCAACATCGCGTCTTCCGAGCAACTGTCAAAAAGCTTCCAGTCATTTTCCTGGGCACCAAGAGGGTGTTCCGAATCGCTAGAGCAAAAGCAATGGGCGAGGGCCAGGATAATAGTTTGGGTTTTTGCTTTGAACCTCACCCACGCCCCGTCTTGGTTGGGGTTTAACGGGGGATCTGGGCGCCGACTTGTCAAAGCTCAAGAAGGCAGACTGCGCGATTTGCTGATCGCATGCTCATGTTGGCTATGGACTTTTTGGATCATTATGCCGGATACTATAGGCGCCTGGCGACTGATGACGGCAACCGTAGATCTCAATTCGTGGAGTTCATGAGGTGCAAGGCTGTGGCCTTGCAGCACGCTTGAGGCCCATGACAGTTGAAACCCACGTGGGATTGAGTCTCTCATTTTCCTTCGGGCTCAAGCGCTGTTGTTCGTGGGCCTGTTGCACAACATCGAGCCATGGGACTGACTCTTCCCTGGCAGGCCAATGGGTACCTTCGTTGGTCGGGCTGGCTGCAGTTCTTCCCCACCCTGTTCCTTTCCATTGCTGCGACTCTTGCGGCTTCCGCTGCAGCTCGGTTGGGTTTCCTATGGGTGTATGGGCTCCTTGCCTTCCTCGCAGCCCTTCTTGCTGGCCTGCTTCTCTTTGATGTCGCCACCATCAAGCTGGGAGCCCACCCTGTCGAGCCACTTCCCAAGCCGCCCAACTTCACCGACCCTTTCGATGTGATCTTGCGGCGGCGCTCCTGCAGAGCATTTCAGGACCGAAGGCTCACAGCAGCCCATCTCCAGGACCTCTTGCATGTCAGTGAGGTCTTCGTGCAGCAGTCCCGACTGTTAGGGGAGGCGCCGATCCGGCTCGTTTACGTGCAGGCGCCGCTGACCGTCTGGCCTGTGGTGGGCGCTCAAGAGTTCTTGGTGGCATTGGTCCCGAAGTGGCTTGCCCGCAATCTAATTAAACATGCTGCACTGTGTTCCCTGGAGTGTAGGTCCGAATCATTGCAGCCAGCAACTTAGGCAATATGACCGCATGTCGGTCCTGGATGTAGGTCGGAGCCTACAGCGAGTTGTGCTCCATGCTACCAGCCTGGGGGTAGCCACATGCTGGATTGGCCCTGGCACAGATCATCAAAGTGTCATTGCTGCCCTGGGCCCGCGATACAACAGCGACAAGGAGCGCATCTGCTGCGTCTGTGCCATGGGGTATGCGTCGCGCTACGTCCCGTCTTTCGTTGCAGCGATGCAACGCTTTAAAAGCAGATCGCGCTTGCCCCTTCGATCTCTGTTCTTTGCGGACGCGGAGTTTCACACGCCCCTGGACACCGGTGCATCTCCCTTCCGGCGCTATGAGCGATGCTTTGAGGCATGCCGCTGGGCTCCATCGTCTACGAACGCCCAGCCAGTGCCTTCGTTCAGGGTATAGGGCGTCGATCAGGCTCTCCGATAGCTTTGGGCTTTGACTTATAAGACTATTGGTGCAGCACGAATACTGCGCAATGCCTGAGGTGCGCTGCATGGCAGTTCCCAGCAAAAGGCGGTTTGACTTCTTCGCTGCGTCAGCCTCGCGGTATCTTGGTTGGGAGTAGGAATCCGGCACGAAGCAACCCACAAGTGGAGGAAGAAGTAGACCACCTCTATAGTCTGATGATAGACCAACAAGGTACTACACTCCTGTGGCCGTGGGCATTTGGCTGGCCAATTGGGAGGTAGGATGTGAGGCCCTGGGAATCAAAGGCCGCTTCTTGCACCTTGACGAAAAGGAACGAACTCCTGGTGGGAGATCTGACTTGAAGTTGCCCAGCTATGACATGAGCTGGGTGGAGCTAGCTGAGGAACACCAGGTCCCTACGTAGCGGTTGATTTGAAGATGGCTTGTCTATCGGCGCAAATAGTTATTATCGTCCCTTGTACATGTATGTATAACTGTATAACCAAATAAGATGCTTAATCCGCACATGACGAAGCCTCCTAATTAAGCTGAAGGCTCAGGGTTGCCGGTGTTGCAGAACAGGCGACCGGCTGTACAGACCATTGGGGTCTTCCGGCCCCCACAAACTAAGACTGAGCGATGCTCAGCAAAGGCCAGCATCTCCGAGAAGTCATGAAGGGGTTGATGTCGAAATTTGTTAATGATCCCAATATAGCCCTACCTAACCCATGGACCTAGAAAGTTACTGTTCACAGCAAATCCACCCCGGAATAGGTCTGTCAATGGAACGCAGGCCATGGAGCATGAAAACAAGTGGCCCAAAAATCGTCAGCTTGAGCATGGCCAGCCGTGGAGGCTAATGCTTAGGCCTGATCGTGCTAGCGCATGGTCCACTGCCTCGATGTGGTGCGCTTCTCCCGAACAGGTCCACATCGACGGAATGTTCTTCAACTTTTATATGCCCCCTGCGCGGGGCTAAGAAACATGCCAGAAGGACTTGTGACACTTCATTCTTGAGCTCAATGGAGTTGACGTTCGTTCTTGAGTTGTGCGTTACCAGAAGTCTATTCCTGCCCCACACGTGCACACTGGCGGGTTTAGCGGGAAACAGGTTTGGGCACTGCCGCCCAGGAAGTCTCCACAGCTCTGATGCAAACCATGAGGCCAACGTGCAAGTTGGCATGAAGCAGACGGGTGCTCACGGATGTAATCTACCGATCCAATCGATACCGGTATTGCGCCGATTGTTTCTCGAAAAATGGCAACGGTTCGACTCGATACTCAATCGCTACCGAAATCCGTTCGACAGTGGTGTGCCGAAACACTAGGCCATAGCCCCTCTTCGAGCGATTCCCATCAGAACTAAGTCCTGCCGAGGGATTTTTTCTTGGGAAGGGGCTTCGGAATCCCAATTTACATTCCTAAACCGCTGTGGTCGTCGTCGACGATTATCTTATCCGTCAGAGCTTGCCTTGGCTTTCCCTAGCCACTGAAATTCCAGGTCTCAAAAAGGCCATAGACTCCACAGTCCTTAGCCCCACATAAGGAGGCACGAAGCCCTCATAAGGTTGAGGGCAAAGCCTACGGAATCCAGTTGTGGCAGCCGCAACAAGGCTTTTTCGGCTTCCAGCAGACCTTGCGATGACGGGCTGCTGCGCCTTTAACTATTAGGGGGTTTTCCCAAGTCAGCCTAGTGTCGGCATTTGAAGCGCGGAATTGCTGTCGACCAAAGTGCGCGAATCGCATAAGTGACTGCCGCGAATTCGTTATGTTCAGGCCTCTCATGCAAGGTTTTTTGAAAACGCATCAGCGGCCACCATATCGTTTCGGGTCGTTTTCGGTGGCTTAGATGGCTTGGAGGTCTCGGCAAACTTCTCCTTCGGTATTGCGGCTGCGACACCCAGGAAGACAAGTGCTAAGTGCAAAGCTGTTGATCATGGAAGGGCCTATCCGGATGACGGCGATGCGATCCTCCAGGGACTCTTCGTGGTCATACTTGCTTTGTCGGGGGCCTGAGACTACTTCGCATCCGCCTCCCATGTGTGGAGACTGTGGAGACACCACGCCCCTGAAGAGGTTCCTTTTTGCCCTGCTCGCACTCGTCATCGGGGTTGAAGATGCCAGGCAGGGGCGAGTCAAGTGTGAACCAAGTGGACTAAACAGGGATCAAAGATGCCTCGCAACCCACAAAGCCTGGGGGCGGCTAGCCTAAGTCTCCACGATCGGCAGCGCGTGCATCTGCCACGGAATGATGCTGTGGATGCGGACATATGGCCCAAGGGCTCCCAAGAAAGCTCACCAGGGTTTCGCAAATGCGCGGACGCAAAGTAGATGCCGATGCTGTCAGCCTTTGAAGCACTCGTGTGGTCCTCGCCCCTCAAAATGCCAGTGTGCCTTTCTAAAGCCCACAAACTTGTGCAGCATTCTATATTGCCACTTTTTGGTGATGTAACCTCCATGGCAAGCCGCCCCGAACCAGTTGTCCATTGGTGGAAGCTGCAACTGAGCGTCAGGCCAAAGATGGCTCCAGAGCCTCTGCCAGGCGGGGTTGCCATGATTGAAAAGACAGCTGACAAAAGAACGACCCATTGGGGACAAAAAAACAGGCATAAAGGTGTCGAGATTGGTTTTGAGACCGCCTCAACCTGTCAAAGACCATGGCACAGGTGTCTTCCATCACTCCGCCATGCACCGCGCCGCCACTTCGGCCTTGGCAGCAGCCTCGGCACTCTTGTGTTGATTCGTTTTTTTTTTTTTGCGGTGGGGGGCAGTGGGTTGGAGGGGGTGGGGGGGGAGAGAAGACCCCAAAATGCACAATCTGAGAGACATTGCGAATGGCAGGGCGGAGGATGCGCAGGGAATCTCTGGGCACTTGTGAGCACGAGGTCCATGAGATGCGACCGGTTCACCTTCGTGCTGCGGAGTCCTGGAGCGGGTGTCTTGTGCTTTTTCAGGGTTTAGGGTTTAAGGTTTGCGGTTTGCGCAGCGAGCTGTGGGAAAGGATGAAGGTTAGTGCCCTACAACCATCAAGTATCTTGGAGCAGCCGGAGCAGCTGTGCACAGGTCCAGGCCAGGCATTGGCATGGACAGTCCACGCCGAGCAGGGGTCCCGGCTCGCCTGTCTGATGTGAGTGAGACGAGACATTCCAAAGCGCTTGATACTCAGAGAGCACTGAGGTCGCGGAGCCTTCCTGGCCAGCGAGCATGGTTCCGCCTCCTGGCAGCCCAGAGTCCTTCGGCCCCCGCCCCCCTCCTTCATCCTGTACCTGTCCCTTTGGGGTCGAGACCCGAACACAAACTAGGAAGCCTACACTATCCCACACTCTTACTCTCCCGCGAAGTGGCTTTCCAAAGCCGATCAACGCAACTGCCATTTCAAGTCACACAAAATCCGCTTTTTGAAGGCCTGCTCCACCACGGACGCCTTCACTCGCTGGGCCTCCAACACCGACAAGAGCGCTGGAGCGAGCCACTAGATCAGGTGTTGAGAAGGTTTGATTCTCAAGAGCTTGTTTTTGGTTTTCTAAAGCGTGCGTGTCAAAACATTGCTTGTTAATGTCTTGACAGTTGCTTGATTGGTGTTCAATGAATGATCCCTGGTTCCCTACCCGACAAGTGGGGGTGTTAGATGTGAAGGACAACGTGGTACAGCTGTCAGGCAGCACAACATTCAAGACAACAAGCGGGCAACTGTACCGGAATGCTCAACAAGCAGCCCTGGCAGACTGCGGGATGTTGCCTCACAAAGCAGGCCAGGGAGGCTCAAGTGGGCAACTGTACCGAACTTTGTTCAAGATGCAGGCCAGCAAGACTCAGGCGCTGTGCCGACTGCTGTAAGAAGCAGTCGGGACGACTGTAGCGGAATGTGACTCTTGATACGCAGGCCGGGGAGGCTCAGCGATTGTGCCGGAATGTCATTGTAGCCAGGCAGGCGATTGCATTGGAGTGCGGCTCAGAACTAGCAGCTCATGTCACGGTTGACCAGAAGTTCTTGACGCAGGGAAACCAGCACTGCCCCCGTTTTGAAACATTGCTGTTGGTCGTTGGGGACAGGGTGAGGATGTTGAATATTGTACTTCTAAAGGTTTAGAGAAGATACCGAGTAAACGAGTGCAATTTGATCTTAAACTACTTGTTTTTTCTCGCTCACTGCGGTCGCGCTGATTTGTTCGGCCTTTTCTTGCGATTTTGGAATAGAAAAGTCTGATATGTTAAAGGTGCTATAGTATTCCCTCGATTTGACAGGGGCTCTGTGGGCTAGCATACAGGGAAAATGGAACTATTCTCTGTGTCCGCATTCTTTTCCGTGTTTTGCATTCTTCTTAACTCTTTATGGAAGGGGGAATCCGAAAGAACAGCTCATTTGGTCGCGATCGCAGTGTTCTATTCACAGTTCCAGTGCGGTTAAATTATGAGGACTCCTGCATGATTAAAGATACGGTTTAATGATATTTATGCGGGCACCTGGAGTGGTAATTTGTCTTTTTTCAACTGTGCGTGTGCGGATTTTTACGGAGGTGTTCGAGCCACGAAATAGTTGCAGAGGAGAGAGATCGTTGCTGCAGAGGAATGTAAACGTTGAAATTTGTCAAGGGCTTGTGTTCTACCATTCGACCAAGGCACCCTCGCCCTTGGCTTCCCCTCGTCTACGTGGAGGCAGCAAACTGGGGCTTGCATGATGCAAGCATCTCTCTACAACGGATGTCGCACCAAAATTGCTAGTACCATTGTTTTGGGACGTTTCATATACGCAGTTCATGACGTATTCTCCATGCCAGAATCAGCAGAAGGTTTCGACCTCAAATTCTGGATTTGCAAACAAGGCGCCTCGTCATCAACAGCAGAAGGGTCCGGGAGCTCAGGGAGAGGGCCTGTCGAGTTCGTTGTGACCATGCGTCTGAGCATGCAAAGACTAGGCCTTCAACTCACCCCTAAGACAAGTGAAGTTGCGTGTTCGGGACCCAGCTGGGCTGGGGGATCGCCAGCTTAGCCGCGCAGAGCCAAGGTGAGCGAGGCAGGTTTCCCAAGATAATATACTAATTTATATATAACCATTACATAAGTGTTATATGAGAATATAGAAAAAGTGAGTATGTTCGCATATTCATATAACAATACACTAATATGATGGAATAATCTCAGAATATAATCATAGAATATCTGGCAAGGCCAATGTTGCCGATTCCTTCGACTGCGCGAGGATCAGGAACTGTTGATGGGCTTACTGGACGGTTGGACGTGGAGGTCGTTTCTGGGAACGAGTGGCATTTGTATACCTGCGCTTTGTATACATGTGCTTCGATCCGTTTAGCGTTTTTGGAAAGACTCCTGTGGTGCAGCTAGATTTAGCGTACAGCCAGTTCGTAGCAGCGGCAGAATTTGTACCGAAACTCATCAAAAGCCGTTTACTTCGATTCAGCTCCAAATGTTGCACCTTGGAGGAACAAGCCGGAGGTCACCCCACCTGTGCCAGGGTCTAGTCGTGCCCTCAGGCGCGCTGGGAGAGGACTCGAGGAATCAAGGTCTCGGTGATCGGGTGGCGGGTCGAGGGTGGCATCTCTCTTTTCAGGGCCTGGTGAATGCTCAAGATGGGGTCCTGGAGCGATAAATCTGAGGATCACATCTTTACGCAAAATGTTACACTCCATCCCCGGAAGGCTCTGAGTGCGTCCTGGCCGTCCGCCTGGCTCCACCAGGGAGGTGGGTACAGGTGAAGGCCTCAGCTCAGGTGCGTGAAGCCTAGGTGTCGGAAATCATCGAACAAGACAGCCTTCAAAGCCCAAACTCCAAAGCCAGACAGCCTCAATCGTGAGAGTTGTGAGGCCCGGGCAGATGTTATGGACTTGACCGGCAAAGCTGTGCTGATGGCCTCTTGACAGCAGGGCGATGTCTGTCGTTCCGTAAGCACTGGAGATCAGAGCTGCTTAGCATGTAGAATCTGGGAAGCGGACGTATTGAATTTTGCATATGTGTCGCTCCCGATGCCCGTTGTCCGCAAGCCTTGACCCTTGCGCTCCCTTGAAATCTAACGCTGCCATGATTTGAGCGACTCCAGTGACCCCGACCGCGCTGCATACCCGTTCGCTCCCATGTCTGACAACGTGTAGTCATTGCTGCCCTCCACCATGTGCTCTGGTGCAGGAACCCTTCAAAGCAAGTATTCAGATGGCTCTCTAGCCTGGAGCAATACGGGGTATGCAATAGTCGTGGTAGGGTCTGGAATGGTCGGCTGACAGTACTGAAAAAGCCCGTGAAGATTCCCAAGGCTGCTGGGGATGTTTCGTGCTTACTCGGCGCGGTTGGCAGTGGTAAAGTTCCAGAAATTCTTTGGGTTTTGTGGTAGGCTCTCAAGTAGTTCGGGTGGGGTCTTGCATGACACACCTCTGAGGCAGTCTTACGGCGGGGCGACCCCGAGGCGCAGTTTTTCAAGTGGGGTTCGCAGTGCCAGTGCGCATGCCCCACTGGACAGGGACCATGCAGATGACATCCAATCATTCACCGCCGCTAGATTCTACAAATGTGCAGATGCAAGTGGCTACAATGGCATAAGCAGTTGGCTGTCAAATGCCTTGCCCAAAACTCTTACGGCGTGGCAGGTGCCAGGAAGATCCAGAGATCCAGTAGTGCCTTGGCAGTGCAATTAGGGGAGATTGTTGGATGCAAGCTAGACTTGGCGGCAACGCTGTTGTGGCTTTGAGGCCATCTTGTCCCTGGGACTGTTAAGGGCATGCCCGACCAAAACATCATCCAAGTGATGTCTTCAAGTCTCCTCGCGCTTGTCTCGTGCAAACCAGAGAGATCTTCCTCCATCTGCAGGCTGCAAGATGAGCACCCTGCGTGCCTCAATTCCCATGTCTGATTATAAGCAAGGCCACTCCTCCTGACTATGAAGCCTTGAAGCTCGAAGAACAACACACGCGCACAGATTCCACCTTTCTGTATATAATGTAAATGGATACACGTTTGCAGTCTCCACTGTCTTCGTGCATGTACATACATACATACATACATACATCTATAGATATGTATACACGTCGCATGTTTATATATACACAACACACATAAATAAGATATACACTGAAGCACGACCGCTGTTTTTGCGAGCGGAGGTAGAGCTGAAACCGACACCGTCGACCCCGTGACCTGACCAAATCCAAAAAGGCTCACACGGCTTAGGGTTAAGGGGGTCTCAGCCCGGACGATGTACTTGGCCTTGTATCAAGCTGCTGAGCTTTGCAATTCTAGAGCGTGTGGGTCGACATCCTAAAGGCTACCGCGACAGTCATGCAGTCGGGGTTTGGGCATTCGGATCGGTGCAACATTAATGTTACTAGGGCTTTCAGTACATAGCTCTTTGTTTCGTTGCACTTACACTATGTTGAGTTGACATCCCGATCTTGTCTCCGGAGCTTCACCACCAAACGATCGTGGGCCTAGGAATACGGCCTTGAATCAGACCCTGGCACGCTGCTACACCAGTCGAGGCACGAAGGGCATCAGGCATGCTACTGTAAGGCAGTGAGCAGCCTGAGGAGCTGTGCAGACACAAATGCTCTACAATAACTGTCAAGCTCAGGATTTCGGGTTCATTAAAACTGGCTGCAACCGGGCATTGTGGCCATGTACAGCGCAAAAAATGCTACAGGCACGGCGTTGAGATCTCAGCGCCTTGTAAGCTTGTGATAGCGAGCTGTGCTTACTGCCGTTTACGTGCACGGAGGTGTTGGTTGCGTGTCGCATCTTGCTCGGGCCTGTTGGGCCTGCTCGATTAGTGTCAGGGAAACAGCGTAGCAGCTTGGGCAGGTGATGATGGTGAAATTGGCATGGACATTTGCAAGGCGAGCTTTCGGAATTTCAGACTTGTCAGGAGGAGGGGTTAAGTAGTTGCCCAGCTCCAACAACTGAGCTACACTTACAGCGTTGCTCGGTGTGAGGTGCTGTTTTTGTTTGCTTCAATGCATACCGGTTCGGAAGTTCGGCGTCCTGCAGGGTAGGGTAAGGCGGGTGAGGCTAGACATCTTGGTTGTGTTGAGCCTGCTTGCTTGGCATGGAGAATGCGAACTAAGGTTAGGGTTACATTGGTTGCATCTTCAAAAATAAGGCAGGTTTTGACCGCATGTCGCTTGCTTGCATACAGCTCATTCAAGGCCCGAGAGTACTGCAGACGGGCATCCATTCAAATCGGGCAAGTCACGGCATCCAAGCAGATTGGCAATTTATGTACGGCTCGCAGTCATAAGCATCGAATTTCCCGAAAGCCCTTCAAGTTCTACCAAAGCTTTGAACACATGTTTCGGTTCTGCCGGAATCGAGGCAAGGTCAGGACAGGTCAAGTTCGGGGAGTCGGAAACATCGAAGTTGCTCTTTCCCCGTGGCGCCGGCCATGGTGTCTCTGGCGGTAAGCAATGATCTCGTCAGCTTCTCCGAGGCCTGGCTGCGCGTTTGCTGGGGGGGGACTCGGGGACTCGACGCTGCTCCCAAAGGAGCTGGCGGACGCCGCGGGGAAGGTGATTCTGCAATACTGGCGCAAACCGGAGCCGTGCTTGCACAAAGATCTCGACACTCATGTGAGAACCTTGGAGCCTGCTTATTGGGCTCCCTTCCCCCAGCACCCTTTTCCTGCGGTGATGGTGCTCGTTGTGTGGTAGAGTCTGGTGGAGAGGAACCGAAACCCAAGGCTTCCAAAACAGCTCATGGAGGTTTCGATATCTTCGTCTTCAAGCCCTGATAACCTGATGGCCCAGATGAACGGGCTAAACCTTCGCCCTGATACAAAGCTCAACGCCCACCAGCGTCGATTCGGTTATTACTTGGGGCTCAATATTTGGCGTTATTCCGAATAACTCCAACAATTGGGTGTTTTTGTCATAAGTCGGCCGCTGCCAATGTCTACCCACGCTTTCCGCTATAGAGGGCTTTTATTGTAGCTTCCATCATGCTTTTGCCCGTGTCATACATTCATGTTAAATAAAAGAGCGGGTCTAACAGCATGGCTCTTCATGCATGTCCCAAATTCAATGTTTCATTCCAAGGGCTTGTGTGGTTCTGCTTTTGCGTTGTAGTGCTGATCTTGATATCGTTGGAAAAACAAACCTGGTAACTTCTCGGCCTTAGCCGGCAAATCTCAACCTTCCCTTTCAGGCAACCGCATCGAACCTCACACGAACGGAGGTGTTATGTTAACTACTGCATCTATCTGCCAGCTGGCCTTTTTCTTCGTGGAACGGGATGCCCAGGTGGAGGTGGAGTCAAAGCTGGAGTTTGACCGCCCCGTTGCAGAGAGCCCCGAGCCTCGGATGCAGAATGATCCTGCTGGAGTTGGCTAAGCCGCAGCCATGCGATGTGCCCGCAAAGTGTGCAGCCAGGTCACCATTGCAGATCGCGAGGCAGAGAGAGCCATGCGGGACCTCATCGAAGCCAGGCAGGATTGGAGCCATTCGGGCGATTCTGCGTCATGTGGGCTTCACATGAGTTGAGCTACTCTGGCAGGTACCCCAGTCATGGAATCATCGGTGAAGAATTCGGCAGCCTCCGACCGGATGCGGAGTGGGCCACTTTGCCAACATCAGGGTGGCTCCCACCCAAGGTTCGAGGATTGAGGACGACGAGGCTTTGGCATATTCTTGACCTTGGATGAACGAGTGCAGGGCAGCTGAGCTTCTGTTCAATTGCGGGACTTGTGTTCGCCTTGCGTGCTCACTTTGGCATGGTTGGCAAATTTTCCCAGTCATGTGTTTTCTGATGGCGTCTTGTCATTTCAGTACTGGACAGGTGATTGTTTCTGCTCTCCTTAGATTCGTTTGTCACTCTAGCGTTCAGGTCATACGTTGTTGAATCTGTTGCAGGTAAGGGTGGACTGGACCAACTACTGCAGACACATCTGCTTCAACTCCAGCCAGTGCTAATTACAAGAGATGCAAGAACCGACTCTTACAAGTTCAACACAAGTTCGCTTCTGAGGGTGAATGGTTTTTATAAACAGCTCTTGAGTGCCAGCCCGAAGAAAGCACGCGCACCCAAAATGTCTTTCAAAGGTGTGGGTCTTGGATCCCATCGATGGCACCAAGTCCTTCATCACGGGGAAGCCCCTCTTTGGCACCCTCATCGCGCTGCTGCGCAAAGGGTGCCCTGGAGAGCATTTTTTCTAGAGAGGTTTAGGCCCCTGCAGACATGGCACGGCGCGCGCATACGATATCATGGGGCACGAGTGATGGGTTAATTATGAAGCCTGAAAAAAAATCGGATGGTATGACCTTTTCGAGCTTGCGCTTCTGAACACTGCTCGGTTCTTGTCGAGGGTGCCCGCGCTGGGCATCATTGATCAGACTCTTGGCGGCAGAGGTCGGGTTCCTTGCAAGAGACTCAGCGTGTAAGTTGTCCAAGGCAGAGGCCAAATGCGTGGGGCCGCAGGTTTCAGCACCGTTTATTAGGGAGGCCTTAAAGCATATTTGGGTTGATCGTTTTGATCCGTTAAAAGGTGTGTGCTGCGCGAGCGATGGCTTGGTGCCAACGGCCGGACGACCCTGAACGGCCAGCCTGTCAAGGCCCGCGGTTGCAGTGAAATCCGGGTAATCCGTGAAACCTGGGGAGTATCCAGAAACTGTCTGATTAGTCAAAACCCAGGTTCAAGTTCGGGGCTCATGGGCTTCCCTCCTACCCCAAGTCCACAGCTGCGAAGTATTGCAAACCATCTCTACAGCATCGCGAGGCCCTTGGTGCGGGTCGTTTGGAGGTGGCTGGGCTGGGGTTAGCTGGAGCTTGAGCATGGTCGGTTTGTGGAGAGCGTGCACCTAGAAGATGAAGAGCCCCGAAAATCTTCAAATGTGCAATGGGTGAGCAGCACAGCGCAAGATGCTGTCAGACGAAGGTGTTGGGCCCAGTAAGTATGGGGTTTCGGGTCACGAGCGGGGGCCAAGGAGGCGATGATGTACGCGACGACGCCTCACATGTTCGGTCGGAGCCCGATGTGTCACATGCTTTCGTGTTGGAGGGAATGTAATGCCCTTCAAGTCATGCCAGAAGTTGCTGTACCCTTGAAACTGACACGGCCTCACTCGCCAAAGGGTATGGCAGCCTTAACAGCCTTGACCTTGATGCATTGATTTGCCGTTGACATTCTACGATGGTGTTTCTCCATAAGAGGCCTATAAGGCAGCCTGTCCCATGCTTGCGGAACGAAGATAACCAAATGAAAGAACGTGTATATAGTTCCAGCCAGCGAGCCAGTGAGCTTTGCGGAATGGCTCGAGTGTCAAAGTTGCGGGGCGCTTTCGCGCGTGGGTCAGCAAAACGAGAACAGATACTGTAGCCACTGTAGGCAAGACACAAAAACTGAGAGGTCCGGGGCTTGAGGAGCAGCGCTTCGCAGCTCTCAGGGCTTGCGTGCCCGGGCACTGGACAGAAGCGCTTTGCATCTTTTGCTTTTCACCGCAGGGCTGACGGCTGCGGAGTTCAGTCATTGCATCCCTTCAATTTCATCGACACCCCCTTTTTTTGCCCTGCCTGTCTGAGAATTGAAGTAGAATGAGGCCCTAAGATCCCGTTGGGTTTTCGGCAGTTTGGCAGCGGGTGAAGTGGTACAGCTTGGCATTGATCGGCAAACACCACATAGCGTCAAGACCAGGTCAAAAGGCCCCTCTACGGCTGCGATTGCAACTTGGCCACTCAATTGGCTTGCGATTGGTTTATCACTCTGGCCGGCGTCCGAATGAATGTAAGCCCCGTAACATTACCAAGCTTCAACTCTAGAGGGAAAGTGGACAACAAAACCCCCATGAGCTCCCTGAGGCCCTAAGCTCGTTTAGTTTACGCTGTTGGAAGTTGCAAGCTCTACATCCTGAAATTGGCTGCCAGGCCAATTCCTGCGACCAGAAGCCTGTGCACATGCGACACGCCCTCGAATCATGTCAGTACAACCGTACTCCAGAATTCGTGGCCACGTCTATGCCAACATATTAGGGGACCCTTGCTTTGCAACATCCCGGGCAGCACAAAACAAACCGCCTGTTGCAAAAGGAAACCGCTGGGCCGTATGGTGTGCAGTGAGCTATTGAATCTGCTTTTTGAAGTTGTTTCTCTCTCTCACTTTCTGTCGCTCTCTCTCCCTCTCTCCCTCTCTCTCTCTCTCTCTCTCTCTCTCTCTCTCTCTCTCTCTCTCTCGGTCTCACGCTCTCGCTCTTTCTGTTATTCCCCGCGCCCGCGGACGCGCAAACATCATAGTCATAGAAAGTAGCAAGACATACATATAATATGGATATTTGCATATATCCACACCCCAAGAAGGCTATGCCTATGGACTGGTGGCGGCTGGGTTCGGAGCCGATCTCGTGGTCGAGGCAGACCTAGGCTCCTCGGCACCCCTGGGATGTGAAAATTTTCAAAATGTGTGGAATGTTTTCGTTTCTTGCCGGGACTGCAGTCGGGTTAATGTGAGTTCTTTTCGGGGCAAGCAAGGGCTCAAAAAGGCCGGCCACGTGGAGCAGTTGGGAGATGTTTCGAGCCACCAGCTTGGAGGTCAGCTGACACAGAAATCAAGGGGTGCTGATGGAGTTTGACGCTTCATTGCTCTATAGGGCTATAGGGGGCGCCTCAAAAACTCAAGGATCCCCGGCACAGACTTCTGCATTCTTTTCGCCTAGGAATCTATGACTACTGCGCCCTGGTGCCAGTGGTCAACTGTGCCGGTGGGCGGATGACGGACCTGGGAGTTGACATATTGAAAATGCCAATCTCCGAAGCCCTCACATGAATCAACTTGGGGGAATCTGGCCTCGCACATAAATTGGAGAAGATGTGGGATGGTCAACTGAATCCAAGGGGTTTTTGTCTTGGCAGTGCCGGCTGCGAGGAACGTCGCTGATGGTATCACCTAGTATCACCTCGTAGCGTGGCGCCGCACAACAAGCATAGCATCGCCGGTTTGCCAGTATTGTAAAAGTCTCAAGCTCTCTGCCTGAAGTTAAGTAAGCTGCATCGCTCTCCATTGTGATGGAGTCATTGCCGTTCCGGCGAACCCTGAAAACCTTCTGTTAACAGAAACCCAAACACCTGTGGAGGACTGGCGAGGCCGTGATCTAACTCTGCAGTCCCACGTGTTTTGGCTGCTCCTTTTGGGCTTGAACCTTTGGGGAGAGCCGGACTCACACGGCTAAATCTGGCGGGGTTGGGGTTCTTCTGTTTTCCAAGGCCTTTGAATCCCCGATAACAGGCTGGTCGTCTACTTTGCTGGACTTCAGGCGGGTTGTGTTTTGGAAATGCCTCTTGCGTCTTACCGTAGGCCATAGCTGCCTGAACTGTTTCGTTTTGGACTCCCGATGCGCCGATTGTGTAGACCGGGGCTTTGGAGCAAAGCTCGAGCCTAAGCCGTGCAAATATCTTTCGCGTGCAGTTCCTTCGTGTGCATGTGGAGATATGCAATGCAAATGCAAAGTGCCCGCCCAATCCTGCGGATGCCGACATAGGTTTCTGGGCAACCTGCAAATTCAATTGCCAAGCCTTCTCTGAACACTACATCTCACAACTCCCAGACCAGTATCCCTGTCTATCACTAGGGCACTATAGAGAGCTTGTCTTGAGCATCAAATGAAGACTAATTTCCCCTTCCTCGCCAGAACCCGAACTATCGGGGCTGTGCTAATGGTGAGGCTGGAGGTTTTCTCTTTGAATCATGCAGATTAGCAAGCGAAGGAGATCTCGCGTGGGCGAGTCGTGGCTGCCGCGAACGATGCATTGTGGAAGGTGCGGTGCTCTCAGAAGAAGCCATCGTAATGACAAGGCCTTGCAGGTCGCATCTGTGCCAATGTAACGGCTAAGCGCTAAATTCAGCCACGGAACTCAAATTGCTCCAAGTCGTGGCCCTTGCAGGCAGCCGTCGCCATTCTGAGCCAAGAAGAGGTGTCATCCGTGCCTCAGTTGTGGTTGTGAACGGTTGCGCGAGGCGGTATCTCAGAATCCGAAATCACGCCATTCTGTAAGGCACCGGTCAATGATGCTTTCAGATCTGTAGAGGGAAGGTAAGCTCCTTCGCATCTTTTCTGAGCAGCCGGCAGGGGGTGTTGCGGAGAAGGTCAGGATGCAGCCTCACAAGCCAACCTATAGCCATCAGCTAGGGACACCTACAGGGGCGAAGCCGAGGGCGAACCTTGAACCGACCTTGGGGCCAAGAGAACGCTTCCTGTAGCACAGAAACACGAGATGCTGAGGCAGGATCCACCTGGGCCTGGCCATCGTTGCCCCTGCTGCTTCTAGGAAGCGTGTGCTCATGGGCATGTGGCCTTTCGGCCCCAAGTCCTCCGGTTTAGCCACAAGTGTGTGATGTCGTGTCACTGAACGTGGCGCCAGGAGTTGCGATTGGGGCCTCTGCACAAGGGGCTTTGACGCTTCTTCGCCGCTAATGCGCGAGCTGAAGCGGAGTCTGGCAAGTCTTAGTTTGCAGTTTAGGCCTCGCCCGCGTGGTCATCGATTGAAAAGAAGCCCGAGTGGCGTTGTGGGTGAGCAGCGTTAAACTCCGCCACAAGTTAAGTGTGTTTTGGGCACAGCAGGCAGTGGTCTCGACAGTGACAGTCGTTTCATCAGAAGAGAGGGGCCTGCAAGGGTTCAACCTTTTGAGATTGAGAGGAGCCGGCTTGAGGGCTTGTGTCTGAGAGTTGTGCGTCGGAAGGCCTCAGGCGACATCTATGCCCGGCTTGTGCGTGACCCGACCCGACCACGCTACGCAGCAGACCCAGGCATGAGATTCCTGACTTCGCTGCCAGTTGTGCGTTGTCCCTCTGCGTCGGAGACGCTTCCGCAAGTGGTTCAGCAAGCATGCGGACACTGTCTTTGCAGCGGCTCATCACAGTTGCTATGTTAGTGAAGGTGGCAAAAAGCCACAAGAACTTTGAGGTCATGACGAGAAAGCCTGCACCCGGGCTCCACCGTTTGAGCCTCAGATCAGGGGATCTCCTTGTCGGTTGAAGTTCTTCGCGTTTCCGCGTAGGATCTCAGTTGTCCAACCCTGCATGGCCGCGGGGCCACCGTTTTCTGCATAAAATTGGGTTCAATTGGGGGGGGGGGGGGGGGGGGGGGGGGGGGGGGTGTTCCTTGCGAGGTCTACTGAATGTTAGCTGCCGGTGTAGAGTTCAGGCATGTTGTGAGGCTGAAGCCGCAGTACTCAGCATTGTCAAACAAACTTGAGAGATAGAGCCGAAGGGAAAGTGTTTCTTCCACGTGCACACCATGAGACAGGGAGTGCACGCGGCACATCGCTGCACCTAAAGGAACTAAAGCCCGATGATAGCAGCCTTTACTTCCCCCTTTGGATAGCTCATAGCGGTACTTGAGGGTGGCTTCTCTACTTGATTTAGACTCAGACCTCCTTTACATGCACAGAAGTAGCCTGAATTTGAAAGCCCACGTCACACCCGACATCCGAACCACCCTACATGGCCCTACAAACCCTGCGAAGTACACTTGCGTGCAGAAAAGTGCCCTAAACCCTGAACCCTGAACCCTAGACCCTAGACCCTAAACCCTGAAACCCTAAACCCTAAACCCTAGACCCTAAACCTTCCATTCCTGAATCCAGCTGTGGCGGAGCTGGTCTTCGATGGCCTTTTCGAGGAGCACGCTGTTCTCGTCTCTGAAGCGGCAGGAAACGCCGGGCCCTCGGACTTCAACGCAAGAGAGCCTGCTCTCTGTAACTTTCTAGCCCTAAACCCTATAAACCCTATAACCCCTATAAACCCTATAAACCCTATTAACCCTTTTAACCCTATAAACCAACCAACTTTAAACAAAGCCCTCGTGAAAGCTGGGGGAAACCAAGGAGCCGACCGCGGACGCCGAGCCCTGCGGGATGTCCTTTGATCCGGAGGGAAAGTACTTCAGGCGCCCCCCCCCCCCTAGGGTTTAGGGTTTAGGGTTTAGGGTTTAGGGTTCCCCTCCTCCCCCCTTTGAAAGTCGACATTTTGTGTTCTCCAGGGCTTTAGGGTTTAGGGGTTTTTTTAGGGGTTGTTGGGGTTAGAGCTTTAGGGTCAGGGGCAGGCTACAGTTTTGCGATCGCAGGAAGGCCAATGTGGTTCCTGAGGGCCATGAGTTTGGGCTGCCCAGTAGGCGCATGGTCCAGTGGCAAAAAATTGACGGAGACAATTCGAAAATCAGAGATGCGAGCCTCAGAAGATGATCCCACGCCGACCTAGTTTAGGCGTATAGGCCTGTAGGCAGATCCGCCAGGCCGCACCGTTTGCGCAATGTGACCCAAGCACAGCGCAGCAGCGTCAGGTTTGCTTGGTAGGTTGAGATTGTTAATTTTAACGCTACGCGACCCGCCTCGGCCCGGCCCAGCGCATCCGCGTGAGCATGGTGATTCCGCAGCGCCCAAGTCGCTGGACCCAAGCAATAAGGGTTGGGTTTAGGGTTTAGAGTTCCGGGTTTATGGTTTATGGTTTATGGTTTATGGTTTGGGGTTTAGGGTTGAGGGTTAGTTTAGGATTGAGGGCTTAGGGCTCAAGGTTCATGCTTTGGGGTTTAGGGTTTTTTTGGGTTTAGGGTTGAAGAGAAGGTTGGGCTTGGATTGATGGTAGGGTTGAGCCAGGGGGGAAAGGGGGGGGGGGGGGGGAAAAGGCGGGGGTGCTCTGCTGGGAGGGGCTTCAACTGCCTCTGGTCCTGGCGAACCGTCCGCTTGCGGAGGATTTGGAGGGGGGTGCCTGTTCTGACAACCTATACACCTCCGGCCCGAGGCCTCGGCGGATAAGTTGCCATACGGGGGTTTACGAAAATAGAGGACCCCCCAAAATAGACCCCCTAATGGTATAATCCCCTATATACCCCCCAATAGTCATTCGAGTTGTGGCACAGCGAATTCACTTCGCCTGATGTGCAAGGCTCCGCGTCTCCTCCAATGTCGACGTGGGTCTGATTATTTGCTGTTTACTCTCGATTGACGACACTATGCTGCACTAATGTTGAGTGCCGCTGAGCAGAGTGGTTCGCAACAGTCTGAAAAAGTTGCCGAAACTCAATAATGGAAAGTGGTTCGTAGTGGTTACAATAATAGATTGGAAACGAAAAGCCTACAGCCTTCAAGGCTGCTGCCCTTAAAGCTCTGAAGCCTTTGCTTACATGAAAAAGGCCCAGAAGAGGCCCCTTGACCCCCCCTTCGCCCCAAACCACTTTTCCCAAACTTGATTCAGGTCCCAGACGCTGCCCTCCTATTCCGTTATAACAAGTTGGGGAGGGAGTGGGGATGCTGCGTCAGAGAGTCAGGGCGTTCTGTCTTGCGCAGCATCTTGTGTGGGTAATTATATCCCACAAGGTAACAAAAACGGGAAGATAAACTACAGCACCGCTAGCTTAGTAGTCCCATGTCCGGTCTAGATATATTCAATGCAGTCATCTACGAAGGCTGGCTGCCAACCCACGCAAGTACGGCATCATGCCAGATCCACGCACCCCTGTCTCCAGCAGATACGGATGCAGAGAAGTAGATGCGTAAGTAGTTTCTTGCCAGGGCTATGCACAACAACAGCCAGGCATGCCAGCAATGGCCACAGAAGCGGCGCGGTGCGAAGAACTGTGCAAGTCGACACCTTGCGACGGGGAAGCAGAAGCTGCCATGGCGCTCGCGCGAGTTATGTTGCCGAAGTCCCTGGCGCATCTCGACACGCGGCATCCGAACCAGTGCGGTATTGCTGCGACAGTGCTAAGGTTGCTGCGATGCACGAGCATCCAGCGCTGTGGCCATCTTTGGTTTCTCCTCACCCTGGTTGTGGGCAAAAAAACGCCCAGACCTTCCTTCTTGGAGCTTCGGAGACAAGAGGTCTGGCTGAGCTTGGAGCAAAATATGACCGGCAGGCTTAGCACGATCCGCTCGGCTGAACTCAGGAGGAAGCTTCAGAGTTGCGAGATTCCCGCGAGACATTGGTCTTTTGGACACAATGTCACTGACCTGCATGGTATCGAGTCAGAATCAACATTCATGTTGTATGGCGACAGCACAGAGTATTTCCAGAAAGCAAACGTTGAGCCGTTTGCTCGCCACCTAGAGTGCTATGCCAAAGCTCGAGGTATGAGGTTCGTAGTCAACACAGACGGTTTGCCCATACACAACACGGTTTTGCACAGCATCGGCGCGAGTGCCGACAAAGATTCTGGCTGGTATTTTTCCATCCGCGAGGAGGTGCCACAAGGTACTGCGGATGCATTCGCGTCTTTAATCTGGAGGACACTTGCAGCTTCCGAGCTGCACCTCCTGCCGAGAGTTGCGGATCACTCGCCATCCTTGCATGTGAATTGGAGAGAACCACTTGTGTGGGGCAAGATCTGGGTGATGGAGGACGAGTTGAGGAGAATGAAAGATGGGGCGTTCCTTGTCTTCTGGGACTCCGACGTGACCATTCGGCCCGATAGTTGGCACCGTGGCATTGTGGAGTTGTTGTTGAACAGGTCGGCGAGTAGACCATACGGCGAAGAGATAGGGCACGTCTTTGTTGCAGATACCTTCCCTGGTTCAGAGTGTGTAAACAGTGGGTTTACTGCCTTTCGAAACACCGAGTTTAGCAGATTCTTGCTGAGCCTCTGGAAAGAGAAGATTTCCTGGGCTGCGACTTGGAATCAGGGTTCTTTGGCTGAGACCATTCTCGAGATTGTGGGCCTTGAGGCACATCATCGAACAAAAGGTCGTCTTAAATACCGCCACACCTGCCTGCCCTTGATGTTGCCCGACATGACCGGCGTCATGTCTTACAGAAGCTATTGCGACTGTTGGCACAAAGAGTTAGAGCGGCTTGCTGGACGATACAGGCAGCGCAAGAGCCGCATCGTCAGCTTTGTCGACCCCGAAGCTGTAGCCGTGAACTTCGTCGCCCACAACCTCTTTGTCCATCACGACAACAACCTGAAGGGCATGCGTTTGGTCACTTGGCCAACAAAATGGACAACCCAATGGCTGCCGGAATCTACGAACAAGTCATCCTGGAGGCTTCAGAAGCCTCTGACGCCCTTGGCAGTGCATTGGGCGGGCATTGGCTCAGGGCGCTTGAAGCTCATGAGGGAGTATCTGCGAAACTTCGGCTTGAGTATTCAAGGCTGCCCACAAAGTTCCAAGGAGTGGTCCGACTTTGGGAGTGGTGCTCGACAGCTGCGGTGCTGCGAGCGGTTTTTGCAGACCTTGGCTGAGGAACCTGAAACGAAGCTGGAGCCCTGGAGCGCCGGGGACATCGGCTGCCACGAGTGGTCTCCGGTGCGCCGGGAAGACTGCGCGAAGATTTTTGGTGCGGCTTGGCAGGAGATGCTGTCAGCACTCGAGGCATCGCAGCATGGGCAAGAAGAGCAGAGAAGCGATTGACAGACGACCTGCCATCGTGAGTCGTGACCAAGGCAGAGAGAGGTTTGGAGAGAGAGTGGGCCGACCTCGCCGCCATGCAAAAGAGGTCTCCGCAAGCTCGTCAAGCAGGACCGCGGCTCCCCTCGACCAAGAGCAAAAGAAGTCTTGTGTGAGCCTGCAAGAGCATCTTCGGGTCTCAGGCTGTGTGGAGCTGTTGTTGGGGGCCGCTTCTACTTGCGGAAATCCCGGCTACCAAAGGCAACCTGCAATTGGGGGGGTCACAAAGCATTCATCCACTTCCATCGATGCACACGAATGGGTGCCCGAGATCTCTTCAGTAGTGCTTGCAGCGAGAGCTGCTTCAATGTCGCAGCATGCAGTAGGATCACACGGAAAGATGCAGGTCCAAGCGGTTAAACACCCGAATTCAGACCACCACAGCTTAAGAATGCACACCAGGACGCTTTCCACAGACGCTATCTGTCCCGAACCTGGAGAGCAAGTAGAAAAAACAAAGGCAAAGCTGAAACCAAAGCCGAGGAATTGGCGCGCATGCCCTGACACGGAGGAAGCCCAGGCTTTCGCTTTGAACCCTGAGACCCTAACAGAGGGCTTCAGGGTGAGAGGCTTACGAGCCCTCCAGGCAGCTTCTAGCATTTGAATCCCGAACTGAGACGATCCTGAAGAAGTCTTGCTAGGGCCAGGACCACAACCTCCGACACCCCAGCCCTTGCAAGCTCCTAGCGCGCTGCGTCTCAGGCAGGGATGGGTTTTGGAGTTGTTGTTTGAGGTTGTTTGCACTGCAGAGCTCTTTGCCTGAGCCGAGTCTCACTGTCCACACCGTATCTGCGTCTCGACGGGGGCTACCCCGGGGCTTCAAAAGTGCGCGGCGAATGCTCAGCTGTCCGGTTTTGCATCTTTACATTGCTGCGGGGAGTATGTGCTGTAGAAACGTGGTGCTGGCTAGCGGTAGGCCCTGCCGACAGCCCAGAATGTGTCAATGTGGGACGGCTGCCAGAGCTGAACTCTGCACAGGACGACCCAGCACGGCCTGCATTTTTTCCCATGGCTGCTTCGAGCAACTCGCGAACAGGAAACGGTTTCACAGGGCCAGTGTCTCATGAGTACTGCATGCCGGTCCTAGAATCCCCGAAGCGTTTGTCGCTCACGCAGGGCACCTCACTTTAGTACCACAAATTGCCCCCCCCAGGGAATGATGAAAGCACGATATTCCAGCCTAGGTGCCTCACGCATCGAGCCTGGAGGGGCACTGGACGCTCGGTTCTCAGACCTTCATCCAGACGTCGGGCTCCCTTCCGCGGTAGTCGATTTTCCGTGCATGCTGCATCGGTTGTCCCAGAATGTGTGCTTTCGTTTTGGGGAATGACAGTATTCAGTATTTGTTCAAAAATCAGAGATACACAAACAAATGTAAACCCTAAACCCTGAACCGATGGCTCAGGATTCCATGTCGCCTCAGGAGCTCTCCCCTCCCCAGGTGCTCCCGCCGCGGCTCTTTTGAAAAGCATGTGATTGCTTGGCTGTACACCCGAGTACATCCTGCACCTACGTGTTATATGAGGGGTACCTGACTGCGGTCCTCATTATAAGGGGAACCTACTATTTGGGCTCTATATTCGGGGTCCGTGATTATCGTTCCCCAATGTAGCGCTCAGTCTGTGACCCACATGGGTGCCACAAACAGCACGAAGCCTCAAAAGGCTTCAGCTTCTCAACAGACACACACACACACACAAAAAAAAAAATGAAAGAGCCTTAACATGCCACTCGAAATGTTTACTTCGAAAGGTTTTCTAAGCTCTTCAGCATGAGCAGGCGAACAGCGGTCTCTCGCGGCTCTCTGGCGCTTCGGGCGTGAGCAACCCCACCTCCAGGCTTTCGGGGGAAATCGGGGAGAACTCATTGGGGCTTTGTGTGGGTTTATTGTGGACATTTGCGAGTTTGCGACACTTCTGGACATTTCTGACTTCTTGGGTTTTGGTTAGCTTTTGTGGGGTGGGAAAGTCCTGCGGTGCCTTCGTGGGACTTGACCTACAAGTGACAAAGGTCACAGGATCAACAGCTGGGACGCCCAAAAAACCTCTCTGTGCTCCTGAGGGAAGCTTAAGAATTCAAGTGAAAGCTGCGAGTTGCGAGAAAGGCGAGTTGAGAGCCGTGAAGCGTGAGCAGAGCTGCGTGTGGAGGTCGACAAACTCGTGGCAGCAACAGGGCCCTGTCGGAAGCTCTGCGTCCATTTCATGACAGTATGAATGCAAAACCATAGTTAGAATCGCCGGAAGCTTTTAGAAGCTGGAGGACCTATCAACCGTTTGCCGCCAAGAGTGGCCCATGGGCCAAGCCTAGTGGCGGCACATAGTCCAACAGTAGAAGTCTGCATAAGCTGGTTCCACCTGGACAAGCTGCGTAGAGAGGGGTTGTTCCACACAAGCTCACAGGAGATGGCATCTGTGGCGGCTACTTTCCCGAGTGATGTCAAAGTGTCGGTTTGGAACCATGTGCTGATGAAGGTCCGGGTCAAATGATGACGAACAAGAGCACCTGTTGTGCACTGAACAGGGAACCGATGAACACTGAACTGCCATCCCAAAGTGCGAGTGCAAGCAAGTTGTATCAACCGCTTCGCGCCTTCACTTCCTCCATCTATGGTCCTCTGGCTTCCTTGATAGATTGCCAACGCTTCCAGCATTTCTCCGCATGCTGAGGCTGCAGATTTCGAAGATTCGATTGCGGGACAACTCTTTGCATCCCCACTGCAGGCACGCGAATTGCCAGAGTTCTTCTGCCTGTTTGGGTCAAGAAGGGCCCCAAGGCCCAAGACCTACAGCAATGTTTGGAAGGCCCAGATAGGAGCTGCCGAACATCACACAGAAGACGGTTTGGCTTCAGCATCTGAATTCAGTCAGCTGGTCTGTCAGGTGAGACCCAGAGCATCGCCGCTGCTCGGCGTGGGCTTTGGGCCAGTAGGTGGAGAAGGTACAAGGAGGTTCAAGGGGGGATACTTTCGTTTAGGAGGGGTTGAACGAGCTTGGGTACAGTGGTTTGCTTGGAGGTTGCAGACTTCTTGAGAGAGTTTCGTCGTCGCCTTCCCTGGGTTGGTTGCAAGCCCTAGCCGTCTCAGCCCCTCTCTTGGGTTAAGAAATGATGCGGCATTGCCAACAGTTCGGGGGCCGGAGAACAGCGCAATCCCTTGTGAACGGGGGCAGTGCCGACAAAAAGTACTTCGGATGTCGGCTACGAGTAGGGGCCTGGTGCACAGCAATGCTTCCGCTGGTTTTCAACAACCTACTGCCCTCTAAGTTGTCACATGTGGCCTCTGGCAAGCCCGCTTCCAACGCACCAAGGAAATCGGGCAACTTGCGCCCGCGACTCAGCATTTGACCTGCGTGCCCAGAGAACTACACGTGGAATGCTCTCGGCTGCCCCGCTCGATCTGTCCTCTGCAAGACGTTATCCGAAGTAATTTGCTCTGGCTTAGTGAACGACTGTTGGGACAGAGCTGCAAGAACACACGACACCGTGCTCGCAACGAAAGCTCGCTCAGGCAGACAAATACTACAGTGCTTCGCTCGATGCAAAGTGCATTCGAAGAAACATGGTTCCACGTGGTTCCACCATTCTCTCCTTCCGGCCCACAAGAGAGCAGACACAAGGAAGCATGTTTCTCGTCTCTTCTCGTCTGGGCTCTGGTTCGGCTGGCGCGTGGGCAATGGCCTAACAGCGCCAGGTGCCTGCGCGACTTAAACAAGGTCTGAGTTTGCTAGAGGATCAGAGCCACGCGTCTGCGCAAGCTACAAGTCAAGGTAAAGGCACACTCCCGGCGCGCAGGGCTGGTCCAGGATCAAGATTGAGAGAGAGACGCAGAACAACGAAGTCAAAGTAGGGTTGCATTGGGCTGGACAGGTGTGGTGCGAGCCGGCAGATTGTGGCTTGTAATTCAGCAGATCCCAACCTCGAGCAATAAACATGACCAGCAATCGAGGTCAGGTGTTCTCCACGTGAACGTGAAGCTCAGACTTACGAGCATCATGCCCAGCTGTCCTACACCCTAAAAACTTCGGCTGTTTGAGGATCGTTGTACTCCCGCGGGCCTGCTGCAGACTTCGAGGACGGCAAACTTTATTCAGGCAGTGGATGCATTGGATACGGCACCGGCAAGGTATTTTCCGGGCATTGGGGGTGTAGGGTAGTGTAAACGTAACGCTGCCATTTGTGTTTGTTTGACGCGTATGTCATGGCCGTTTGGTTTCTTCCACCCGGTCGGTATACAATGTCCACTTCACAAGAATATGCACCCCCGACCCTACTTAGTCATCCTGTGCCGGCCGAGACGACTGCGGCCGCGCAGCACAAGGATAGTTCAGAGAAAAAAACCAACTGCAGAGGCTTGTGAATGTTAGGGGGCTGCCGGTCTGCTAACGGTGCCTGTACAATGCGGAACTTCCCCTCCAATTCGGGGGAGGGAGTGGGTGATTCTGATTATGCTGCACTCGGAAGCAGTGGAGCCGTGCATTGAGAGCGTCATCTTCATTTCGCGGTTCTCCCTGGCCGCATGCAGCAAACGATAGGAGAGCGGGGGCACCCGGCGTACACGGCTGTGCTGTCGTCTCTCTGCGTTCGGGAGGGCATGGGACAGTCATGCAGTGGCTGCTGGGGCTTGATCGCCGTGGTCAGGCCTCGTCCCCGCTGTCTCCCGTACTGTACTGTAGGACGCCCAGTGTTAGGCCGTTCTCGCGCTGCCCTCGGAAGAATCCCGATACCTCTGTGTTGCTGTTTGATGGGCTGGCTTCGATGTGAGCGTTTACATTCCTTGGCCGGTTGTTAATTCATGGGTCTCTGTTGGGCCCCCAATAGGTCCAAAACTTTCGGTTGCTGTCAGTTAAACAGTTTTGAAACATCCAGGCCCCTTCGGTTGCGTCAAGTGCCTGAACCTGCAAGTTGCCAGGACTCAGTGGGCGCGCAGCTCGCCAGCTGCAAGCCTACCTGCCCTGTACACCAAGTCGGATGTTCCGACGGAGAGAAACCTAGATTTTGCGTGCGCCACGGCGCCAAGTGTATCACGTTCCAGGGGCTCTAGGCCTGCCCCCAAAAACACCCCAAATCGGACGGTACCAAGACACAAGATCAGCATCTCCGAATGTCTCTAAGCTCCCAGGTCTTTCGCCGGAATTCCTGGGCCACGGAGAAGATGGTGAGGTTTGCGATGGCCAGCATGAAGTTGGGGCTTAGCCGCGGGGTTCGTTCGGTCTTATGATGCTTTACCCAGGTCAGGGGCCGGGATTTCGATGCAGTTTCCGAAGGTAGGATGTTGGCCCCCGACAAGTGCAGCTCAGGGTACTGCAGCAGCCGAATTCGTACAGAATGTAGCCTTTTTGTTGTATAAGACTTCTCGCAGAAGCTCCGGAAGGGGTAGAGAGTATGCTGTTTCGACACTTGTTGCGTTCAGTGGAGGGAGAGCGAGCCAGGTCGCAACGCCACCATCCCGGGGGTCCGGCGGATGGCAGCCGTCCTTAAGGCGGGGTTTAGGGTTTAAGTTTGGGGTTTAGGGTTTAGGGTCTAGAGTCTGGCAAGCTCAGAGAATGACGGTTTGTGTGAATCGACATCCAGCTGCTTACAAACATACAAAAGTACCCAAGACTGAGCTCTGAGTTGTTCATGGGCGACCTTCGCCTGGTACTGTCTTGCCACGGGGTGATCCCACTATACCTTGCATCATTCCTGGGAGCAGGATGTTGAAGAATGCCTTAGCTAGATATCAATCCCCATGTAGTTCTAGCATATACTGCTAAGTCCCAAACAAAAAGTGGCCCTAATTTCGGTTCCTGCATGTGGCAGGCTCCCAAAGAGCTGAATGCTGATCGATTTCCGAATCGGAGCCTTGAAGCCCGTAGCCGAGGGTCGGCAAAGCTTCTGGTACGCTCCAGTATATCACATGCACCGCACCAAAAGATTGGGCTCATATCCAGTGCAGTCGTCGTGAAGGGCACATTTACGGATTGTACGTACAGATTCTACTAGCACTTGGGAGCTTCAAGACCTGGGTTTCTCCTAGCTCAGCATTCAGGGGTGGTCTTGCACAACTGTGGGTCCATCAGGATCAGAGTCGTTGCTATGTGCGGGGGACTGCCACTGAGGTCTAGTGTCGTAGTTTGGAGCAACCGGCCCCCGGCCACTTCAATTCGAAGGGCATCCATGGTCTGGGACACATCCTGACGGATGTGAGGGCACGGAGGTCTTTTAGTTCCAGAACCGGCAAGTTTGCACTGCCAGTGGATTTTCACATGACTTTGCTACCAAAAACCGCAGGACGCCGTGCCCCGAAGCCTCCGTTCAGGTTTAAGGCCCAACAAAGAAGCGTTTCTCGTCTGGACGACAACCTTAGTTTCGCCGGGAGATGCCTTGGGCTAGACCAGACCCGGCAAGCAGGGGCTTGGGAATTCCGGGTTCAGGGTGATGTAAGTGATGTATTCCTTTCACGACCAGCTCCGGGTGCTGGGGTCCCGAGGCCTGTACAGACTGAGGCTCCGAAGATCGCAGGGCCTTCCAATGACTACGAAGATGCTTCGGATCATGACCATTCCTCGGCGCTTCGCATGTTGACAAGCAAGAGGCCAGTGGTAAACGCAAGGTTCATGTCATGTGACCTGTGTTGCAAATTATTACCCTAGGCCCTAGGGCCCCAAGCCCTAGGCTGTTCTGACGATCGTTTGTCTGCTTCAGGCAAACCAGGAGGATAGTGCCGCGGAAGATGTCTGCTGTCCGCATGCTCACGAGCCTTAAAATGTGCCCTGCGCGAGCCCAATGAAAAAGAGACTTCACGGCTGCCGAGTTAGAGTCGGGGAGTGGCGTGCTGCCGATGATTCGTGCGTGAGAGAACTTGCCTGCAATGCCACCCCTCGACCTTCATACCTACAGCCGCATCAGGTTTATGGACTGTCTTAGCAAAAGCTTGGGGCAAAGGTTGAGGTTTGCTCCGAGTTGTTGTCGAGTTCGACCCAGCTCCGAAGCATCCAACCCCACATCGTGCGCTCTGCGGCGTTCCATTCCTCACACGAGTAGGGAGGGTCACCCTTGGGACCCGGCCAACGTCCGAGGGCTCAGAAGACCGGCTTCGGAAAGGGTCAAGCTGAGAGATTCTGAGGGGGGGGGATGCAGTTTGCTAGCAGTCAGCCATAGCCGCGTGCAGGTTCCGTGAAGACCTGCTGGAAGTCGCAGTCTGACTGAAGTCTGAAGCCGTTTCAACGGACTCAACGAAGCTTAAGAATCCACGCAGTGTTTCGGGCTTGCGCCAGACCCCCTTGCTCGCTTGGGCATGTGTTGCCACCTGCTGAGTGCAAGCGCCGCCCCCCCCCCCCAGGTTACACACACCTTCAAACCTTGGCAAAGGCCACTTAAGATTCAGCAACCTCCTCTGAGGGAGCGAAAAAACCGGGAGCTCCAACCTAATTAGCCAGCTGCGTGTCTCCGAGGCAAGATGCGATGGCCGAACCTAGCGGTTGGGCCGCTGACCTACAAAACTACGAGTGGCTCGGCTCGGTTACAAAGGATGCAGATGTACCCTCCACAAAAAAAAGCTGGCGTGCTTGAGGCGCCAGCGGCGAGTGGAGCTGAACCCTGGGCTTTTCAAGGGGCCCACCGTCGGCTGCGTGGCTGCACACAACATAAGAGCCGGAGGTTCAGAGGAGCTTCGAGATACTTCGAAACCGGAAAGGCCGAAGTGTACCCTGCACCGAAGGCCCTATAGAAGCCTTGCCTGCTGCGTGCGAGAGTGAGCGACGACAGCAACCTTATCCGCGTGCGTGCTATCAAGCTCGCAGAAGGCCGACGAGAGCCCGGCCAAGGACCCTGAAAATCCACAGCAAGACCTAAAAAGTGGTCTTCCCTTTTTGTTGTGCTTTCTGGATGGGGCTCTGCGCTTACATATTATGGGGACCCCTTAGAACAAGGCCCGAACGCCACAACAAAAGGCTATGTCCGCGGGGAGATCAGCAAGCGGGAGCGCAGCTACAACCCGCTCCTAGGGCGCTTCCTGGATGCTGGGCTTCAAAGATACTTTCGCCTGAATTCCATCTACGTGGGTTGTACTTACAAAAGTTGGGATGATCGAAGCTGTGTGAGAAGAAGTCTCTTGTGACGCCCTGTAGATGGAGGGATCAAGTCCATGAGCTGTTTCTGAGATGGCGCGCATACTATGCATACTATATGCATACTTCTTAGGGAGCTGTCTCGGCTTTTGGGTGCCCGGCCTTCGCCTCCAAGGATGATAGCAGGGAGCAGGAGCAGGCGCAGTTTGAAGAGAAGGCCGGCAGCGTGTGCTGCACGGCAGATGCAAGAGATGCATCTCGGAATCTTTGCTGTACAGCTGAGAGCAACTGTTTTTTCCGGGTTCTTCGTGCGCAGATCAAGAAGAACTTCCTCAACTTCGCCCGGGATGTGCAGCTGCGCCGCGAAGCGCCCTTTGACCTCGTCACGCACGAGAGGACGCCCTGCCTTGCTTGGCATTGCACACGCAAATACTCGAGGAGAGCCCCCCTTTATCTGGCTAAGCCTCCTGCGACAGGAAGTTTGAGGCATTTGGCCCAGACGCCTCCGCCGGCCTGGAGCCTCCTGTGAAAAAGAAGGTGCCTTTCCCGGCCGCTCGGAAGCCAATTCGGAGATCATTCTATGTTCAGCTGAGTAGTCCTTGGGAGGGCTTCCCTATGCTGTGGGGAGAGAAACGGGAGAGATGTAGAGGCAGGTGTTACTTTGGGGAAGCGCGGCTTGCGTCAAGTTCTGGTGAGACCCCCGAGGACACCGCGGCGGATTACAACATTGTCTCCAATCTTCCCTTCAATGAGCCTTGGCTCATTGCAATGCCGCGACAATGGGTGGGTCAATTTCTGAGCGGGGAGTGCTCTAGCACGCGACTGCTGGCTCAGACCCCAGCAGCCTTCCATGCAAATCTCTTGGGTCCTACCCTGCAGAAACTACGTCTGTGAAGCGTTGGAGCATGATGGGGTCCGATCCCAAGGAACACCACTGGGCTCATCCGGATCATCGGCCATGGCCTCTGAAGATCGCAGTCTGCACAAGCCCTCCATAGCCTTGAGTTCTTGAGGCATTCGGGTTACAGATGTTGGTCCCTGCACACTGATGCTGCCTCAATGCTCCACACCCACTTCTCACAGTGAATCTACTGCACCTAGGCAAGTGTGAACTCAGCCTTAGCACCGGCTCTTCCACACCCGGAGCTTCGACAGCCTGGCGGTTGCCCCTCTGCTTGCCAGCTTTTCTCCTGAGGCCACGGCCAAGCCAGCGGATCCCAAAGAAGCGGCTGGCGCCGGCCATGCTCCACAAGGCTCCAACTTTAAGAACTCCAGGGATTTCTTAGAAATTTGGCTGCGCAGAGCTGCAAATCCGGAATGACGACGATCTTTTGTTTATGGGCCAGTGTGTGCGGCTACGTGTACAATGTGGAGTGTGGAGCACACGCGCAGCGTCGGTTTGCAGGCTGCGCCCTGCAATTGAGCCGCTGTGTCCGAAAATTTCTCAACTCCCCAAGCCATGCAGCCCGCACATCTGAAAATGCTTCAGATCCATGAAGGTTCGAAAGCGGCTCGCTTCAAAACACTTGCCTCAGTAATTACTTCACGTACACCGGTTTGCTCTCGAGGATTTCAACATTCTCACCAACAGATACTTGGAGCATCACCAGGACCGGAAGTGCACTAGTGGGGGCGCAGCAGGGCACCAGATCTTTCACTAAATGGACTCTTTGAGAAGCAGGAACCCGAGCATGCCTGAGAGGAGAAGATCGACAGGGACAGAGAGCTGAACCTTTTGGAGGCGGACCGCGCCCCAGGAGAGCTTCGAGCCAGGCTTGGCTAAGCAGGCTTCCTGCTGGGTTTGCGGTTCGGACATTTTTCATTTATTGCCTTTGGGTTGTGCTTTAGGTAGGGCATTTGCTTGCACGTGTTCTGTCAGTCATAGCTTCTGGGTTCAAGGAGATGGCCAAGAGAAAGTGGGAAGTCAGGTTCGGCGAATCTCTCGCCGAATCGGACTTCCCACTTTCTCTTGGCCATCTCCAGGCTCAGTGTTCAGGGTCAGGATCATAAACGTCCCTGACAGCACCCAAGGCAAGCCCAAGCCCTCAGGGTCAACCCTCTCTCTCTCAGCCCTGTCATGTGCGGCATCCGCGACGACGTCCACGCTATGGAGGCCAGGAGCAACAGGGTCATGGGTCTATTCAGTGTTTGGCAAGTTTGGAGGGACCGACCTGGTCCTTCTGATTCTAATATTACTAAAGACTAGCATTTGGTCGGGAAAGAGGACTTGCGAATTCCGAAGTGACCGATCTGGTCAACGTCAGGGTCAGTGGGAAAGTGCGGTGGGCATGAATGAAGGGGCAGGCTGGGACGGTGAGTGACCGATCTGGTCACTTCCGCTTCTGAGGTTCCCGAAATGAGTACTCATGCAATAATAGAATACTGTGCAACAACTTAAGTTAAACAACTTGGTGGGTGGAGGCGACCGATCTGGTCGTCTCCTCAGGAAACTGGGGACTCCAGACATGATTAAAATTCAATGTAGTATATTTTCAACCGGCAATTTACATGACAATGAGGTGGGGTGGGAACTCGGTCGGGCGGTGGCAGTTCGGATACGATTGTAGTGCCCTTGTGCGCAGGGACCGATCTGGTCCTCTGCGTCACTGCATCAAACTTAAAACCCAGGGTCGGGTGGGAAATTGTGTGAGGGACCGATCTGGTCCTCTCTAACACATTGACATCGTTCATTGATTAACTGTGTTATTCCTGGAGGGACCGATCTGGTCCTCTCCATCAGTGACTAGTCAGTGGCTCGGGGGGCGGGTCTTTGTGCGGACGGACCGATCTGGTCCTGTCTAATGAATGAAATTATATTATTGGTAAGATTACGGGTCAAGAAGAGCTGCAAGCTTTGGGGCACGTAGCCTAGCGGAGGGACCGATCTGGTCTCTTCGCAGCCAGGATGATGAAGTGGAGGCTCGGAGAGGGTCACCCCCAACCCCACCCCCGCCCGGTTGTTTAAAGCTTAAACCCACTAAGCCCTTCCCTAAACCCTAAACCCTAAACCCTAAACCTTAAACACTAAACCCTAAACCCTAAACCCTAATCCCTAACCCCTAACCCCCAGTCCCTAGTCCCTAAACCCTAAATTTTAAACCCTAAAACCCTATCTTTGACCGGAGGCAGCTGAGCCGTCGCCATGCCACTCTGCTGCTGCTGCTGCTGAGGCCAGGGTCACGGGAAATGGGCACTCCACTGGCCTCCCAGCATTCAAGCCCAAATAAATTTGGTGAGTTTTGGGTTCACGTGTCGAATGTAGGGCAGAATTAATTGCTTGCTACATTCAGGGTCAAATGATCCACTGTGTTGCGCAAGACATTGTTGCCCAAGCGGCAGTTGTCACATAGCCTCAACGGCAGGCAGTGCAGGTAGTCAGGGACACTGCAACAAGTCACATTCCAGTGAGTCCGACTTCAAACCTATTGTTACAGTGAGGGTCATGCATCCAAATTCGCATGGGCGTGGTCGCAAGCGCAAGAAGAAGAACAAGAGAGGTGGCGAGGGGTGTCGTTTGAGACGCTTTGAGAGGTTTTTGACAAAGCAATATGGCGAACCTCGGGTCAAATGAGTAAGATTCTTTTAATTTTAACTTTTGATTTGATTCATATCAAATTGAGTCTGAAGCGTATCTGCTGCCTGAGCTGAGCACAGCTTAGAACTTGAACCTGGAAGAAGACGACGAGGAGGAAGGGTCACATCAGCCGGAGGATGAGCCGATTGAGCCATCAACTGCCTCAGCTTCTGGGTCAAAGTCAACAGGGTCAGCTCCTGCGTCTGCATCTGGGCTGGTTCAGCATCCTACGCTAAGAAAAATTAGCACCAAGATTAAGTCAGTCAAGTGCTCGTCGTGTAATTTGGTAGTAACGATTGGACGAAGCCAAGTCAAGGCATCGTTGGCGTTGACTTCGAAGGCTAGCCCAGCTGTGGCGCCCAAAGGGTCAGCGCTGCCCCAAGCAGTAGGGGAGCCGTTGCCTGAAGACGCCAGACCTCCCCCTCCACCGCAGCATGAATTGGTGGAAGTAGAGATCGAGGCGGCGCTGGCCAGGGTCAGTGATGATGCAACTTCGCATGAATTGCTGCCCGTGGAACCAACGGAGGCTTGGGCGGACGAAGCTGGGATGACTGGTGAAGAGTCCAGCTCCGAAGAACTTCTCCCCGAGACGCATCCGGACCGTCTGGGTCAAGTGCAGCGCATGGCAGGTCGTACACCTTCGGCCCCCATCTGCACGGATGCTTCCGGACGCCAAGTCCCTGGACAGGGTCAGAGTGCCAGTGAGGAGCAGGGTGTGGAGTCGGACTCGGAACTGTTCGGGCACGATCCGTTTGAAGCAGCTGCTGGGGTTTACGAGACTCCAGGGTCAGACGAGCCTTCGACTTCTGTGCCGGCGCCCCCAGTCTCTACTTCACCAGGGTCACCTTGCACAGAAGAGCCCTCGAGGCCCATGGCTTCTGCGCCGGCACCCGCGCCAGGGTCACCTTGCACAGAAGATCCCTCGAGGCCAATGGCTTCTGCGCCGGCGCCCGCGCCAGGGACGCCTCTCACAGTGCCACCGCCTCAACACGCTGGCCCTGCAGCGCCGCCTCCTGCAAAGGGGTCAAAATCGGCGTCTTCGTCTTCCAGCTCATCCTCGTCGTCCAATTCTGAGCCAGGGTCAGAGGAGGTGACTGAATTTCAGCAGCGTCTGGAAGGTATGGTCAAGCACGCCCTTGCGAAGTACCTGCCAAAGGCTGTTGCGAAGGCCGCGGTCTTGGCCCAGCGCACGGTCCCATCGTTGCATTTAAAGTACAATAATTTTAAACTCGGCTGAATCTAAAGTTTGGGTGGCTGAATAATTTACCCATTAATCAATCAATCTGTTTGCTGTGTTTCAGACAACTCAGGCGCATGAGCAGCTGGCCAAGGAGAAAGCCGAGGCCAAAGCGCTCAGGGCCAAGAAGGCTGCAGAGCGACAGGTCAGGGTCAAGCCAAAGCAGGAGACACCGGCCGTCCTGCACCAGATCGATGGCTACTTGCTCGCGATGGACCACATGCGGGGTCAATCCCTGTCAAGGAGCATTCCTGGCACCGCAAAGGCAGGGTCATCGATGCCTTCAGGGCCGACAGCGTCTTCAACGCCCAGGCCTAGACGTCCTCCAGGGTCATCGGCCCCCACGCCTAAGGCGTCAACACCTAAAGGTGTCCCCGACGACAAGTCTTCGCCAGCACCTGCAGTGCCGAAAAAACTTCTACTGCAAACGCGATCATAATGACCTCCCGATGAACCCAACTTGCCCTGACCAAGCCAAGAAGCTGGGCCGCCTTTGACTTCCACAAACCTTTTAAACCCGAAAACTTTAAACCCTAAACAGTAACCCCTAAACCCCTAATCCCTAGACCCTACACCCTTAAAGTCACTGCGGGTTTTCCGACTCCTTGCTCTCGGGCAGGCGGCCCTCCGCCGCTGCGGGCAGGCCTCAGGGTCAGGCAAGGCCTTGATTCGGAGTTGTGGAGGTAGGTGTGTCAGCTTGGCATTTTGTCTGCAGTGCGCAAGTCAATCTTTGCATTCAGTGCTGCAGCGTAGCATCAAGGGTCACATGTTCTCCTGTGCCTTCCAACACAGTCAGCAGCCACTGCCTGCTTCCTGCTGCCAGGTCAGCGCCTTCCACAGTCAGAGGATCATTGACGAGGAGGTGCCGTTCCGTTTGCAGTTCAGTCAGATGCTCTGAGAAGGATTTTTTTGAGTTGAATTAAATTGCAGCAGCACCTGAGAGCCATGGTTGGAGCTGCATGAAGGGTCATGACACAATCACAGGCTCACAAGGACGAGTAGAAGTTGAAGTGACGAGCTTAATTTATTTTATTCAGAGCAGAGACAATTGCAACAATCGACTCAAAATTTCAGGGGAATCTT